ACGGCGAGCTCGCGCTGGTGGACGACCGCGGCCGCGAAATCGAGAAGTACGAGGTCCCGACCGGCGCCGTGATCGCGTTGGAAGAGGGTCAGACGGTCAAGGCCGGCGACGTGCTTTGCGAGTGGGACCCGCACTCGATCCCGATTCTCGCCGAGGTCGGCGGCAAGCTCCGCTACGAGGACCTCGTCGAGGGTGAGACGATCCGCGCCGAGAAGGACCCCTCGGGTCAGATGCGGTACATCGTCATGGAGCACAAGGGCGACCTGCACCCGCAGTTGGTGATCGAAGACCCGAAGGACGGCAAGGTCCTCGACTTCTATTACATGCCGGAGAAGGCGCACCTCGTGGCCCGCGAAGGAGACTTGATCAAGGCGGGCGCCGTCATCGCCAAGACGCCGCGTGAAGCGGGCGGCACCCAGGACATCACCGGCGGTCTGCCCCGTGTGACGGAGATCTTCGAAGCCCGCAAACCGAAGGACCCTGCCGTGATCGCCGAGATCGACGGCACGGTCGAGATCCTCGCCGAGAAGAAACGCGGCAAGCGTTCGATCATCGTCCGCAACGAAGCCGGCATCGAGCGCGAGCACCTGGTGTCGCACAACAAGCACCTCCGGGNNTCCGGGTGCACACCGGCGACATCATCAAAGCGGGCGACTCGCTGGTCGATGGCCCGCTGGTGCCGCACGATATCCTGATGGTCTCCGGCGAAGAGGCGGTGCAGCAGTACCTGTCGCGGGAGATTCAGAACGTCTACCGCAGCCAGCGTGTCGAGATCAACGACAAGCACATCGAGATCATCGTTTCGCAGATGCTGCGGAAGGTGAAGATCGACTCGCCGGGCGACACGGACCTGCTGCCGGGTTCGGTGCTCGACAAGTACGACTTCCGCCGGGCGAACGATCGCATCAACGAGTGCCTGAAGATCACCGACAAGGGCGACAGCGAGTTCGAGGTCGACGCGATCGTGCCGAAGACCGTGCTCGAGCAGGCGAACGCCCAGATCGAGGCCCTCGGCGGCGAGCTCGCCAAGGGCGCGAAGCCGAAGAAGGCGACCGCCTCGACCCAGCTCTTGGGCATCACCAAGGCGTCGGTCCAAAGCTCGTCGTTCATCTCGGCGGCGAGTTTCCAGGAGACGACGAAGGTGCTGACCGAGGCGGCGCTTGCCGGCCGGACCGACCACCTGGTTGGTCTCAAGGAGAATGTGATCCTCGGGCACTTGATCCCAGCGGGAACGGGTTTCCGGGCCACGAACGAGTCGGAAGTCCGCATCCGCCCCGAGGCCCTCGAGGCACTGTCGGTCGAGACGGCGGGCGTTATGGACCGTTCGTTCCCGCTGCTGGATGGCGGCTCGCAGCCACGCCCCGCTCAGGACCCGGCCGCCCCGTCGAGCCTCGACGCCCTGCTGGGCGGCAGCGGTTCGGACGAGTGAGAGAGAAGACGCCGGCGTTCTCCGGCCCATCGCGCCAACGGACAAGTTGGCAAAATGGGTCGGGGAACGCCGATTGACAATCGGCCGTGATCCCCTAAGATGCGGGGCTCGCGGCGCGGACCGGGGAAGAGTCCCCGTTGCGCCCACCCTTACAGTTTTGCTGCTAACCAGCGCTCCGCGATGCCAACGATCAATCAGCTCGTCAAGAAGAACCGCAAGAGCAAGCGGTATAAGAGCAAGTCGCCGGTCCTCGAGCGATGCCCGTTCAAGCGGGGCGTCTGCCTTCAGGTCCGGACGATGACGCCGAAGAAGCCGAACTCGGCTCTGCGGAAGATCACGCGTGTGCGGCTGTCGAACGGCAAGGAAGTCACCGTCTACATCCCGGGCGAAGGCCACACGCTGCAGGAGCACTCGATCGTGCTGGTGCGTGGCGGGCGTGTCCGCGACTTGCCGGGCGTTCGTTACCACGTGGTCCGTGGCGCCCTCGACTCGCTGGGCGTTAGCGGTCGCAAGCAGTCTCGCAGCCTCTACGGCGCGAAGAAGGACGGCGGCGGTCCCGCGAAGAAGAAGTAATAAGAGCCTTTAGCTGTTAGTCGTTAGCTAACAGCCCGCTATCGCTTTGCTAATAGCTAACATCTAACCGCTAACAGCTATCCATGGCCCGCATCACCGCCAGCCGCAAGACCCTCAAACCGGACCCCGTTCACGGGTCGCTCCTCGCGAGCAAGTTCATCAA